ATTCTTTCGAGCTGGTGATAGTATACCACTCCGGCCATATTTCACAACGAAGTTCACAGGCAAGAGGTGGTATTTCAGCCAGACTTATAATTTGTGGAAGATAGAAAATATCGGATTGTATGAATGCATGGAATAATGGCACCGGATTTTTCACATTGGGCAGGTTAAATATGAATTGCTTAAGTACTTTCTCTCTCCAATGCCTAACTGCTTCCGTATTCCAATAAGTTTTGATATCACAAAAAAGGTTATTCCAATCTATATATTTATGCATTAATGGCATATCCCATTGAAATCGTGTTCCATATTCTTGGATAAATTCATCATAACCTCTACCTGACATTTTGCTAATAGATCGATTGATTATATTCAAAAAAATAAAATTACGCAGTACTTGGTGATCACTGCTCCGGACTAGTTGGATCGGACTCCCAGATATTCATTCAGCTCGGGATAATCAAACCCACGTATGCTGGCATTTATTTCCGAAATTCAGCTAACATTGCATCAATTTCAGCTAACATTGAATCCATTTCCATAGTCTGCTGAGACTTTTGATGATTGGGCTGGGGCGCAGGCGAAGAAGCCTGTGTTTGGGGTTTTGGGCTATCACTTGCCTCAGATTCATGGTCAGATTCAGTACCGTTGTCTTCTGATTCTGTATCGCCTATAGCATAATTATCACCTGCATCAAGACGGTCTGATTCTTGTCTCAATGCAATTCTTGTGAGAAGTTTAAGATGTTGGGGGGTTGCTTTCGGGCCACCATGAATTCTGGAAGCGTGCTTACTCCCATAATCTCTTAATTTTTTAGGTATGCTTTTATAAGGTTCTTGCTTTAAGAATTCATTAAATGGCCAAGCACTACGTGTCCCACTTTCAGTATAGACGGGATCACGTAACTTTTTAGCCTTAATTGCATCTTGAATCCAGGTAAGCAGTTCTCTTGCGCGTTCTGAATTCTTTTCCATAGAAAGAAATGGTCGGGGGTCAGGATTCTCCTTCTTTTCTCCTTTACTCTTTAAATAGCCTGTGCAGTACCAAGAATAGCCTTCTTTATACCATGCTGGAATGTTCGAAGGATCCGGTTCATAGTGATTAATTTGAAGAGATCTTACTTCCGCAGGTCTCATACTCAACATCACTATCACATCCACGAGATTCTCTCTAGTAGGAATTTTGGAAATATCCATGTTCTGAATCCTTTTACTCACATTTGCTAAGGAGAAATGTATGGGAATTCTGTCCGGATTATCTATTCGCTTTTTAGTTCGTTCTTTCTGAATTTTATTAGAATCTTGAATACGTTTTTGATCTTTAGCAAATGCTTCAATAATTGCAGGATCCACCCCACCTTCTGTTAACTTCACACGGAATTTTGACTGACGTGAGACGCCAGCAACAATTTCATTTTCATCATTACTCTTTGGACCCAAGCGCCAATGATTAGCAACAATGTCTATAAAATCACCGGTCTTAGCACAATATTTTGCCCTTTCCTCTATGGTGAGCTTCCCCTTTCTTTTGTCTGGCAGGAGAGCCTCTATTTTCTCTTTACTAAATGAACGTCTATTCTTAGTACCGTTGACAAGGGCAACTTTAACATTCCTGCGAGCCATCCAATCAGGAAGCAAAGCATCAAGTTCGGGAGCATGTTTACTTAATTGTTCTGGGGTAGAGTCAGCCGTCAAATTATGCTTTTTTAGGAACTGCTCTAAGATGCCGACATAGTTATTAGTTTTGGGTTTTCGGGCCTTTGGAGTGGGTTTTCCAGTAGACATACCAATAATAACTAGATATAATTGCTTTCTAGTTATATTATGTGAGAAAAAGTTCAATTCGAAAAATTTCCTCAGAGCTATACTTCTTCGGAAAGAGAAAATATTAGAGATAGCTCTAGACCAGCATAACACATTTTTAAATATCCGTAATAAAAGTGAAAGTGAAGTTTTGAGATTATTAATATCAAAATTACCTCATATGGGTCATTTATCCTGCCAATACATTAAGAAAGATGGTTTAAAATTACCTCGTATGGCTCCTTTTTCCTGCCAATATATCAAGAGAGATGGTTCGATTTGTGGGAAAGGGTGCTGGCGTCCTGAAGGATGTTCCAGACATTTTAATGCCCGTCCTAAAAAAATATGCCCTATCTGTAATGAGGAAACATATGCCAAGACTGGAATCTGTAGCACACATAAAAGAATTTATAAAAATGCCTGGCGTGAAGGTAAAAAAGTTAAAATGGAATCAGACATGATCGAGACACCTAGCTGAATAATAATCTGGCCAAAGTATTATTTTTCCTATCCTATAGAGTTAAAGAGTTCCTGAATAACATTATCTGTTTTCGGCCTGTATGGTGGAAGCTCTAGAGCGCCTTTATCTCCGAAACCAATACCATTATATGGCTGGCGATTAATTCGGTATGAGTATTGCCTAACTTGTTGTCCTTTAGGCCCTATTCTTTTTTTATCACTTTCAACAGTATACCCACACCAATTGCCAGCAATTGCATTAATTGTTTTTATAGCTGAATGAAGATCTGGTGTTTCCTTTACACGAGACTTAAAACCAAAGAGTAATAAAGATTGGTTTCGAATTTCTATAAACTTTTCACAAAACCACATAAATGATTCTGATGCAGTATCGCTAGAAAGAGTACGCTTGTCGTCAATGCCAGTAAAGCCTAGTATTTGAAAAAGTTCTTGTATAACTTTCCAATGATTAGCTGAATATGAGTTGTGCAAGTCCTCCGCTACTGATTTCTCAGAATTATATCCAGCTTTATAATGGGTATCTTCCCATTGCGCAATATCTTTGGCCTCTAACCCTTTTATTGCACTCTCCTCATCATAGCCTTGCTTTCGAAAGTGAGATAACCGCAAGAAATGTTTCCGAGGTTCAGGCGGACTGAAACATTCTACAAATTTCTTATTGCAAAGATTATACTAAATCTTATCGTCCATATCTTTACCATAAATATTTCGCATATAGAAACGTTTAAGTGTCATAGTATCTGGAATAGAGCGCTCTTGGTCAAACTTAAGATTTTCAGCTTCTTCAGGATCAAGATTCCGGGAAGTAGCAACTGCATTAAAATCTGTTTCTTTGATAACTAATGCTTCAACCCTAACCTCATTGCGGACTTTTTTACGATTCCCTATAACTCCTCGGCTCTCATCCATTTTTATTAGTTGGAGAGAAGCGCCAGTACTGGCTATAAGACTACAAAGCTTCTCAATAAAATATCTTGCAGAAAGGCGTTTCTGATGCTCAACTTCAATGAATGTTATTACAGCTGGAGATTCATTGATTTTATAAGAAATAGCATTGTTATCCTATTCACGGTGACCTTTTATTGCTGTAGGCAAATTATTAGGTCGAGCACTTTCAAGTTCTGCTCGAATATTTTCACGGCCTGGTGGACGAAAAAGTTCATTAGAATTTTTCTGATAGAACATAGAAACAATACGACGAGGACAGTCACAAATTCGATAAAGCATTTGTGCAAAAGCCTCAACATGAACTGGAGTAGCGATATTTATAATGGCTATGACTATATCAAAGTGGCCCGTAATCTCGAATGATATTCCCGCCTCCACTGTGTTTGTGTAAGCTACACAGTCAAGCTCACCCCAAGCGACATCAATATTAGAGAAGTCTTTTTACCTCTGCTTCCCATCCATATTCCCATAATATGCACGGGCTTTAACAGGAGAATTGTCGGGTTTAGATAACTTAGATGCTTTTTCTACTAACGCTCTAGCCATCACTGCTCCAGTAGATACAAATGCCACACGCTTGCCCTGCCTCAAAAGATCATATCCTATTCGCATGGCTTCAGCTCCGCTATTCGGATCATAAATAAATTCAACTGTCTCGCCTATACGAGGCTGATACTTATTATCAACTATGCGAATATTTTCACCACGATAAATCTGGAGGAAGGTTAGTGTTGAGATATTTGCAAAAGCATCCATGGCCAAAACATGCCTTGCAGATCTTAAGACATCACGTATTGCATTCTTAGATTCCCGTGCATTTGTACCGCTAGACATTTGACGCATAATGGCATTAGCTTCATCAAGAATAGCTACAAACGGACGGCCTGTAAACTCAATACGGAAAAGACTCTCAACCTGTACTATGATAATATCCCACTCATTTATAGATAAGTCTCCTTGTATATTTTGATAATTGCAAATTCGAAAACCAGATGCTTTTAGCTCATCAAGTTTCGTTTTTGATTCATTACTAAGAGACTTTCGGTAAGAAACCCAGATATAACATGGCAAAGAAGAGAGATCATGTACCTTATTTTTCAATGCCATAATAATCTCTCTTAATGTAGTGGTTTTCCATGTTCCCGGAGGAGAACGAATAAGTGTTGTCATTTTCTCAATACCCAAGAAATCGGGATATACTTCTGGAGCATCCTTTAATTTTTCTACATTAATCATCGTTTCTGATAATCCTACAAGAAGGCGTGGATTTGATATAGCATCACCTATTCTTTTGACTATTCCTCTCTTAGGTTTTGCAGGAATTTCGGTTACTTTTCCAAACACTAATCCCTTTATAATTTTTCTGCCGATAACATTTGAGTATAAAACAGCCGTTACTTCGAAGAAAGCCATATAACTGATCTTTTTCGTGTTTGATATTGCAAATGGGACATGCTTCCAATGACCGAGCTTGAAAGTTAATAAATCCCTTTCTAATGTCGCCAACTTCAAGCCATCCATATTTTGTGGTAACCAAACCAGCTCCCACGCTTAAGGCAGTTTTATCTTCGATAGGTTGGAATTCCTCTTTTTCTGGCTTCTCAGAGGAAAAGGTTCGGGGCCAGATTTCAGAATAATTGGATTTAGGTTGAACTAGATAATTTTCTAGCTTGCAATATCCTTCCTTAACTGAAGAAATCGCAGGTCTTTTAACTCTATCTTCCTTTGCTGATCCAAGAAGACGAAGGCTAAAGCGAGATTTATAAAGGTCAAAATCGATAAAAACTGAGTATGGTTTTCCAACTCTATCAGCAACTTTTTTTACAAAACCCTCAAGGTCTCTATAATCAATAAAAGGGCATAAGGATACACGATATGCCAACTGCATTTATTAGCATTAGAAGAACTGGCTAAGGCAAAAGCGCCTAATATTATAAAATGATTTAAATCAGAGTGTATAATATCGGTGCAGACAATTAAGATTCTGGATAATAAATCTTCGCGAGAAATTTTATATTCATCTAAGGAAGGAAGTTCGGGATTCATAGGATCGGAATACTGCCTTGCGTCAATATCCAGAACCAGGCGAAGAGGCAGATTCCCATCAATACATTCATGAGTATCGGGAAACCCATATACTTCAGATGGATGATCAACTACCGTAAAACCCTTTCCTGCTACCCGAATAATATATTTTGAATAAATCTCTTCAGGATGATAGGCTCCTAGAAGAGAGATATCATTTTTATTATTAGACAAATATTGAAAGTATACATGATCATTATAACCAGGCTCATAGTCAAGGTCCGCTAACCCTGAAAAGAGCCTGATTGCTTCATTTATTGTTTTTGGGCTCGGCCCGGGCTTTTTTTGCGCAAGCATGATACAATATATGGAAATAGTAAGTATAAAATTACATGTAAATTTCCCAAATCTTCAAAATAAAAATTTCTCGCGAATATGCTTGCCAGCAAAATACTGGGACAGTAGTAGTACCCAGCGCCAAGCCGAAATAAAGTAATCAATGTGGTAGTATCCAAAAGTAATACCCAAAAGCAATCGATACAGTAATACCCTAAAGTATCCCTTCATAGTAACTATACGGGAAAGAGTTCTGAGAAAGCAGGGGCGAAAACTAGGATATAAATTTGGTAGTACACCAAAGTAGAATAATATATAGGAAAGAAAATAAGAAGTTATGCTTTGGTGTACTACCGCCGATAGGCAGGAAAGAGATCGGGAAGGCAGAAAGTTTCAGGAGAATACACGAAAAAGGGTATGAAAGCAATATAGCCTGAACTAATTCGGCACTTCATGCCTCATCCTCGGCAATCAAAAGGGTCATGAAAGGTGGGATTGCAAGAATGGCACAACGTCGGCACTTCGCCTGTGCCTCACCGGCAATTAAGAAATGGCAAATGGATTGCAGTACATCTTCGGCAAATAGATGAATTGCAAATTCGGCACCTTGTGCCTCATCTGGCAATCAAATGGGCATCTCCAAACCTCCGATCAACTGATTCACCAGACTGAACTCTGAATATTCCTCAAAAGTAATGAGAAAGTTGCGAGAAAGTGACGGGAAAGTGCTGGGAACTGAAGGCACAGTAAATTTTTATTCAATTTCAGCTTGGCCAATACTATTTCACAATTTCGGCCAGAACTTTGGATATAATAATTCGGCACCCAAGCTGGCATATAAGTGGTCTGAAACAGGCGAATTAATAAAACTATACTAGCTCCTTGCCAGTTCTACACCAGTTCCATAACAGCTCCAGGTCACTACCATGACGCCAAGATGGATCCCAAAATTATGTCCAAAAAATCGGCCAGAGTTAGCTTTATTATAATACTGGCCAAAATTAGTAATACTATATGACAGAGGGTGTTCTGGCACTGAACAGTATCACGTGACTGGCGCAGTAAGGCGCAGTAAATTATGGTGATCTGATAAATTCTGACCGGCACTAATCCATATTTTTTACCAGAATTTTGGATGTAATATCTCGGCATTCAGGCATCCAATTCATGCGGTCATAGCATCATTGAAAAGCTCTCAATGCCTTCTTTCAAACGATCACAAAACCGCACGAATCCAATCACAGGAAGCCAAGATATTTCGCACTAAAGATCAGGTCAAAAATAGCATAATGCTGGTCAAAATCTGATCTGCAAATCTACTACACCACCCGATCACAACATGATTTTTTGCAATCAATGTCGGCCTAGCATCTTGACCACAAAAAGGCCACAGAGTAATGAAAACAAGCAGATAGCTAGAAGGTAATAAAAAGAGGACAGAGCAATAAAAACAAGTGGATATCAATAAAGCAATAAAACGGCCACAGAGCATGAAAACAAGTAACTAGGTAACAATTTACCTATAACTAGATAACAATTTACTCATAACTAGATAACATTATAACGCAACTGGTTATCACTCTTATAAGAGTGATAACCAGTATTTTTAACCCTGCTGAAAGGTAAAACCGCTGAGTAGGACATTAATAAATACAAATTACATCGCCAATTATCTGAAAATATTAAAAGATTAATGGATTAATGAATTAATAATTTTTAGTTTTATTTTGTCACCTTTATTAATAACTTTTTTAAAAATGATTTTTTTTATATTTTCATGTATTTGACAATATGCGTTGAATAAAAATTTTTTTGTTACAAAAATGTTATTATTTTTTATTAGTCAATCTCAAATCACGTGCTATAAATTTGGGCATAAATATATTTATTAAAAATATTTTAATAACAAATATCTTATGATCTATTTATAAATTAAATTATATTTTTCTGCTAATAATTTATTTTTAAAGGTTTAAAATATTTTAAACTAATATTATTTGGAATTAAATAAGGCTAGCAATATAAATATAAAGCCATGAGATACATCTTGATTAGATTTATTCTTTGAAAAATTATTAACTAATAGCCATTTATAACTTAGGATAGGTTATGAAGTTTATATTATTACCGGTCTGTTATCTATCCATTTTTACAAGTTCTTTAACGCTTACATCAGAAATAAAAAAAAAGGAGTTATGGAACTGTAAAATGGCATTGTATATTTCAATCACAACGACTCTAAAGTCTTCTCTTGAATATTATGTGTTTATAAACCTTTTATTTACCCATAAATAAGTTTGTTTTTATGTGATACAATAAATGAGATTTTCCATTGTGTTTCGTATCTTGAGATGTAGATTAGAATTTATCATTTAATTCGGAATTTTAGAATCAAATGAATACAAAACTGTAAAAAAATTCAGACAATTCACGCCAAAATTATTATTGTTAGCTGGAATAGTGCCAGTACGAGTTATGTTCCGATAAGAATAGTGATTTTTAACTCGTAGATATTTGGGCATAATATTGATTGCCGAATTAATTTAGCTTCTTAGGAACTCTCATGAAAGATATTGGAAAGATATATATATATATATATCAAAGAAATAATGATTTTTGGAGTAAAATATGTCCAGGTTTAGTATTAACTCAAAATTCATTTATTTCGATATTTTCCTTCCTTTCTTATAGAAATCGATTTAATACGCGAATTTTCACCAATTTCACATCACTTATTTAATTTTTATTTGGATAATTGATTTAATTATTATTAAGTTTGTTGATAAATGACGATGAAAATAAAGTTCACCGACCATGACTTGATAAAAATGACGACTACAATTATCTAAAGATACTTACTCTCTTTGATTGGTTATGCTTTTCATTACATAAACTTAATTTTATACCATATCAATATATATCACATACATATATGGGGCCTTTGCAATAGAAAGGGGGGAAACTGCCGGGAAAAATTAATTTTACTTTTATATGCCAAATATGATTTTTATGCTGAAATATGTTCAAATTTAGCATTAACTCACTTTTGATTTTTCCGGCTGTTTCCCCCCTTTCTATTGCAAAGGCCCCATATATATATATATCGCGTTTCTCAAGACATGTTATTCCCATGTTTTTTTTTTATATTCGGTGCATATGCTAAACGTTGTTTCTTTTAAACTCTTCTCATCTTTATCGGAAAATTTGCATTTTTCGTCGAAATTTTCAACTATAATAAGAATGATATTTTTGTGTTTGAAAAGTTATTTTAAAATATGATAAAATTTCAGAGAATTTGTGGTGTTCGTCAAAACTAATTAACCAAATTAGGATAAAAGAAATAATAAAATTAAAAATCAAAACAACCACAGTAATATAGCAACCGAGATGAAAATTTTATCTTTCCAACAAAATTTCTTTCCATTAATAAAAAAAAATTTTTTTTCATAACTATTTTGTCAATTATCATTACGTTCCGGTCATTTGTTTCATGTGTTATGTTATATTAAGATTCGTTTTTTCCTTGTGCTTGTGTAATATAATATTTACAAAAAGGAAAAAAATCTTAATATCTCTGATTACACGTTTTCAAAACATTTAAGTTAACAGCAATTTCTGTGTTGCGACTTGAGAAAACCCTTTTACTCTCTCTCATACTTTTATCAAATGCAATGAAAAAACAAATTCCTTCTCTTATAAATAACTCCTCAATGCTACCATCAATTACTACCTTCTTTTCATATGGTGAAAACCGATCCCTATATGTCTGTTCAAGATGAAAATCTCTTATAAAGTTAATACTATAAACATTGTTGGTTGGGTCGTTCTTGTTATGTAATCACCAAAAGAAAATTTTAGACGAATTAAGAAATTATCGAAATTCTCAAAAGCGATCTTCTTTTAGTTGTTACCTCAATTTCGCGTTTTGAAAGATGCTTTAATTAATTCACAAGACTTCACATGAGTATATCTTTTATTCCGTTTATAGTAATACATGCTCATACTTACGTAATGTTATTGAACATCGAACCATATCAATTTTATATAAAATCTTAAAAAAAAATTTTTTTTTCGAAATATTTTCAGTTCCGATATTTTCAATCAAAAATGTATTCTTTAAGAAACCAACGATGCTTGACTAGACTTCCTAGGTGTTGGAGTTTACGCGTTTCTACCAGAATCACGCCAATAGCCACACCTGCTGTATTCACACGGGTTGCAAAATTTGGAATAAAACCTTTGACAACGTACTGGTATGCCGTATACGTGTTTAATGTTTAAAATGTTGAAAGGCGCAATAGACTTTGACTCCATAAATAGACCTCACAATATTGTATCGTAAATTCGAACTTAGTGTTAGAAACAATTATTCAGCATATTTAGCTAACTACGATTCTACACCGCGTCGTTATTATACTTCAAAATGTAAGTGTTTATCGATTTATCGACTTGTTCATATATCGATTTTTATCCATTCTTTTACTTTTCTCGTTATTACTTAAAAAAAAAAAGAATCTTTTTATAAGATTTACAGTGGAATGAATCAAACAACACTTTTTTATATTTATATTTGTCATATATATATATAAATTAAATATAATAAAGTATTCTTTGTTAAATTTTTTTTGTTAATAATAATTATTTTAGAAATGATTATGTTAAAATGATTTATAGTAAAAATTATAATTCTTTTATTGCAAATATTTATAAAACCAAAACAAAAAAAAAAAAAAAAAAAGTAGCAATCACTATAAAAAATTTATAGATACATATATAAAATTTGTATATATAATATTTTAGCATATCCTCCCCATTCTGTAATCTCTATGCCTGCATTGTCTCCGACAATGACGATGGGTAATGTTGGCACTTGGCAAAAAAAGATCGGTGATGAGATATCACCTGGCGATGTTTTAGTAGAAATTGAGACAGACAAAGCTCAAATGGATTTCGAATGTCAAGATGAGGGTTATCTAGCCAAAATCCTTGTTGAAACTGGAACAAAGGACGTCAAAATTGGAACAGTATGTTTTTTTTATAATTTATTTATCCACGAGCATAAAAATTGATTAAATTTTTTTTTTAAAAAATTACACTAGCCAATCGCTGTTTTAGTTGAGGAGAAAGAAGAAATTGAAAAATTTGCTGATTACGTTGCTGAAAAAGCGCTAGAGACCAAATCTGTTGGGCATGAAGAAGCTCCAAAAAAGACAGCATCACCATCATCATCACCACCACCTCAACAGCCTAAGCCAGCGACAACCGACCAAATTACTGGACGGATCTTCGCTAGTCCAGTAGCACGTAGGTTAGCACATGAACTTGGAGTTTCTCTTAATCAAGTTACTGCTACAGGACCAAAAGGTCGCATAACAAAGGCTGATGTTGAAAGTCTTGCTTCTGCTGAACCCACAAAACCCGAAAAAACAATTACTCCTATTATCGAGCCTACATCTGCTTATACTGACATTCCTTTAAGCAATATGCGTAAAGTTATCGCCCAACGATTAACAGATTCTAAAGTATTCGTTCCACATTATTACTTAACTATTGAGGTTAATATGGATAAGGTCTTGCGGCTTCGCGAAACTCTTAATAATGAGAGTGATGGCAAATTTAAATTATCTGTGAATGACTTTATAATCAAATCATCTGCTTCCGCACTTATGGCCATTCCTGAAGTGAATAGTGCATGGCATAATGATTTTATTCGACAGTGAGTATGATATGGTATTGCATGTATGATTTGTTTCTTATTAAATTATATATTCCCGGAATCAATTTTTTTTATTATTTTCAGGTATCACAATGCTGACATCTCTATCGCTACCGCTACTTCCTCCGGTTTAATCACTCCGATTGTAACAAATGTACAATCAAAAGGGTTGGCAACCATTTCAAAGCAGGTTAAGGAATTAGCTGGTCGTGCCAGAGAAGGGAAATTGTTACCACAAGAATATCAGGTTCGATTGAATTCGCGATATTGATTTATAATATATTATAAAAATTAACACATGTATATCTTTTAGGGAGGAAGTTTCACCATCTCAAATCTGGGGATGTATGGCATTAAATCTTTCACAGCTATTATTAATCCACCACAGTCATGTATTCTTGCTGTAGGAAACATTGAACAAAAACTTGTTCCTGACTCTAGTGCAGAGACGAACTATCGAATCGTCAATACAATGCACGTGACGCTTTCATGTGATCACAGAGTTGTTGATGGGGCAGTTGGTTCTCAATGGCTAAAAGAGTGGAGATCTTATATTGAAAATCCACTTAAGTTACTTTTGTAATTTTTATTGATATTATTGGAATTTTTTAATTATTTATTTATTATAAAATTGTTTTTTTTTTTTTAAAAAAAATACGAAGTAGACTAGCCTTTTTTGGGCAAATCGTTATATAATAAAATAATTCTCAAGATCATGTGATATTATGCACGTGCATTGATATGCATTTTTTTTTTTTTAAAAAAAAAAACTCGATACCCATCTCGCCTTTTTGATCAATTTTTTTTTATAGTTCATATCACTTGTTTTTACGCTTTAATTTTTTTTTCCAAAATCCTTTTTTTTAAAAAAAAAACGAATTAAATCAAATTAGTGATATTCATATAAAATGACTGATAATAACGACAATGTGGATAGTAAGGTTTCAACTGAAGTAATTAACCACGAAATTACTGATCTTGAAGACACAGAAAACGAAAATGTCAGTACCGTGTTCCCTTTCAATAGTGACGGAGAAATGCGAACAGTTTTTAATGATCCAGTAAATTTTAATGTGAAACACCCACTTTTCAACGCATGGACGTTATGGTTTGATAATCCTGGTAAAAAAGCAAGTGTAGCAAGTTGGTCTCAGAATCTTAAGGAGTTAATCACATTCGATTCCGTAGAAGAGTTTTGGGGGTAGGTAAATTTTTTTTTAATGGATATTTATTTCAATGTTTACAATCTTAATGTTTTATGAATTTAATATTTTAAATTGTTACCTAAGCTAAGAACGAACAATGATTATTATTATTATTATTATTTAATAGCGTCTACAATAATGTAGTCAAGGCTAGTGATTTATCATCTGGATCTAATTATCATCTTTTTAAACGAGGAATAAAACCAATGTGGGAGGATCCAGTAAATGAATATGGTGGAAAATGGGTTGTTCAATTTATGCGAAATAAGACTGGAGAAGATATCAATACACTTTGGCTTTATACAGTGAGTAATTTTGTTTATAAAATTTTGAATTAGTTATCCAAATTTTGATCAATTACACTTTAATAATAAATATATTAATATCAAAAATTTTCGATCACTAATTCTTTTGTATATCAAATTGTTTAGATGCTTGCTTGCATTGGGGAAGAATTTGATTATGCAGATGAAATTTGCGGTGCTGTAGTATCTGTTAGGAAAATCTTTTACAGAATTTCTTTGTGGACGCGATCATCAGACAATAAAGAAATTTGTATGACTCTTGGGCATGTTAATTATACATATTAAATTATTAAATTTTTTTTTTACATCGTATAAAAAGACAAATATCTTATATTATTCATATTCTTAAACTGTTAGACGGCAGCTGAAACAAGTCTTGGATTTAAATCATAACCAACTACTTGAATTTACACCACATTCCGATGCAATCAAGAGTGGCAGTCACAATAAAGAACGTTACACTATTGGGCCCAAGTAGTATAATTATAGTTTATACGAAGATTTATTAATATATGGACGTTATAAAAAAAAATAATCTCGTAATTGACTGTTACATTAATTTTATTTTATTTTATTTTATATATTTGTATCTTCCCTTAGATTCAAAAAAATATTTTCCGTTTTTTCTTGCTTATATACTGCTAATTCATATATTTATATATGTTCATTTTTTAACTGTAGGAGGTTTTTATGTAACGTCGAAATGTACACACACATATATATAATATATACAGTATTGAAATTCTGATTATTTATAGTTGATTAGTTTGATATTGTTGCCATAGCAAGAAAAAAGCAGTTTTTTTTGCAAGATGTAAGCAAAAATTAGACAATAAATTTTGTGTAATAAATTGTTTTTATTTACAATTTGGTAATTCCTTCTTAGAATAAGGGTATTCAATTAAATAATGTTAATTTTACAATTCTTTTTTAAGATTTTAAATATTCTTTTTTTTTTTTTTGACAAATAATTGGTTAAACCCTTAGATTTAAAAAACTTGCGCCAAAAACTATTTCCTTTTCTTGTTCACCTGTAATTACTTGCCAAACGTTTTGATGCATATTTAACTGAGTTTATTTAAATGTTATATGCAAAGAGCAAAAAAAAAGAAACTTAATTAACCTGCTTAATTAACTGTGAAGCCGTTTTGGTTAATTATAAATTGACCAATCAAATCTAGATGTGTCCAGGATGTACGTCTGTAATCTGTGCCATTTTATGTCGATCAAGTGACATATAAGAGGTCAAAAGTGGTCAAACGATATGTGTGACGTTTAGGATTTCCATAATAAAAAAATTTCCCAAGGTGTGTGACGTGGCGTGATAGATAAAAGGGTACCTAATGATCGACATAAAATGGCAGATTACAGGATGACATCCTAAAAATCGCGAAAAAATCGCGACTAATTCTAGTCGAAATTTTATAATTTTTAGTAAATTGACCAAATTTATTATAGCAAAATAAATGTAAAAAATAAAATATAACAATTAACCATCCAAAAAAATTATTTTATCCATTAATTTTAATTAAGATTAATGTAAAGAAAATTAAGCATTTGAATGCTTTCTTTTTTAAGTGCCACCCTTTTATCTGAAATTGTTTTATAGCTAGAAAAGCTATGTTCAACATTAACACCAGACACTGGTAACCATATATGTATTAATGCTAATGCACTAAGTTCTGGTAATAAATGTTTTTTACTAATTCATTGAAACCACATTTTTTTTTTAAGATAATTCAGAAACGAAAGGCAGATATGTATACAACCAAGTACTGAAGTAAACTTGGTATCATTAAATGATGATTCACAACCAATCTAAGGTAAGTGTCCCTATAATTTCAAGGTTTCTTACCCAACTGAGCACATTTCCTGTTATATCCCATCTAGATATTGACATCCTAATCTAGCAACTAAACCACATGTTGTGATCAAATTAGGTATCTAGCTAAAGATGGTTCCCATAATTATTTTTAAAATTTTTAATTAGTTGCAACTTAAGTTGCAATACTTTGAGTTGCAACATTTTATGAATTTTTATATTAAAATAAATTTACAAGGAGTTGCAACTTACCGAATTGCAACTTCTTAATTATGATGCCCATCTTTATATCTAGCATATTAGATACTGACAAATTTGGATAAAGAGTATATTGCAGCTATAGTAAATGTCATTACTATTTTTATTAATGATCTGGTAAACTATAGTCAGGATCCAATTTCTTAGTTTGGCTTGATTACAACTATATAGAGAGCTGTAAGATTTATAGGATAGTATCACAAGATTTGTCCAAATGGTGATCTTCAGTTACACATATAGACCACTTCAACTAGATGACATTAATACCAATAACTCAGGAATTGAACCTGACCTCTAACCCTAGTGACAGCTTGATTAGACAGTGCTGTGAGTATGCAATGCAGTTTATTATTACTGTTGATATTATCTACTAAATTCTAGTCAATCACTTCCTTAATTTATATACAAATATATACAGAAATAAGGGTTCCTGTCAGGTAAAATGTAAGATTGTGATCATTACAGACCAGCGAAGGCCAAGTTTCTGTTGATTCAAGGTTTTATTTGCATCTACATGTTCTAACACTGTGCAGTATTTAGACATGATCAATGTTGATTAATAGATTAATCAATCAGATTTATACACATATTCACTAGTCGAAAATAATTTTTTTTTATATTTTTTATTTTTTAAAGATGTGGTACTGTCAGTACTTTATTAATAAATTGTATGATAATAACTAGATTAGAAATAAAAAAGTAA